TTTTTTTTTTTTTTTTTTTTTGACTAGGCACAAAGTGTCAAGACATTTTGCAGAAACATTTCATTTCTGGTTTATTTTTCACTCTGATCAAGTTGTTCATTTCTATATTGTGTTTTTCGGAAACTAATAAATTATGGAACCAAGAACATGTTCTGTAGTACTTGATAGTGTTATTTCCAAGCATTTACTGAAGAAGGTGCCTTTGTTTCGACTAATTTAATAAGCGGCTGAATGGAACATAAAATTATAGAATGTTTTGCAAGTCATTTTTGTGCAGACTGTCATGGGTTGGAACGAAGATATAGAAGTCAGAGAACATGAGAATTGATGCGGAACAATAATTTCAGATATAGAACTTTATCGAGCGAGTTGTAGAGGATGGGCGGATACTTCAGTAAAGTGGTTTGTTCTTCCTGAAGGAGTGTTACAATGCAGAAGGTGCGATGCAGGAGTATGGTTTTGTTGAAAGGTGGGCCTGATATATTGATACTTCTGTTTTATACTAACCAGGGTATATACAACGGGATTGTTATGTGCTTAAATTCAAATTTTGCAGCGTTCTTCAAGATTAGATTTTTTGAAGGTAGTGTCGGAAAGAGAATTTATAGGACTGGAAGTGTTATGTTATTCGAGTACAACATTTGCAGATTCATTGCGATTTAGCGGAGAAAGAATGTGGGCTAGTTTGGTTAATGGCGCTATTGAACGTGCCAAAGGGCCTGTGATGATTTATTTGCTAGCTTCATGCAAGAAAACGATCGTGAGGCGTTATCCTTTTATGACTGAGCATGCAATATTAGAAGAAATTGGTACTCTAAAGGAAGTTTTTTCTCGTGTACCCGTTGCATTCCGAACTGTTGAGGGGGCGACGATTTTTCTAGATTCCATCGATCTGATGTTGTTGACGACTGGAATCGATCAACTGATTAAGTTGTTAAAAGAAATCTCGAGTATGCAATATTTCTTCAGTGTCTCATAATAAGTTTGGACAAATTTGAATATTCAACATATACGTAACTTGAAGTTCAAATAGATTTATGTACCTTTAATTTATTCTTCATGAACTTGTCTATTAGGAGTTTCATGTTGAATTCTATCAAAACAATTAGTTCTGACAGTATCTTATTTTATATTTCATACATAATGGATTAAGTTTCAGATTCAGTGTGTGTGGTATAGAATACTTAGGCTTTCAGGATTTGGAACTGTCATTGCGCGGGTACACGATGAATGTATTACCAATGAAAACTGGGAAAGATTGAGTTCTGTTCTCCATATTGCGTGTTCATTAGATCTTAAAGACATGAAAGTACCACTGTATACAGTAGTTTCTTTTAGAAACGATGGAAAGAAGGTTGTAAAGGTGTATTTTTGGGTGAAAGTATTTTTAATCAATTCAAGAAAACTTTTCATTTGCTATGGTTAAATTATACTGAACTTTCCAAAAGTGCTTAGATCCTTTAAGAAGCAAATTTGTAAAAATAGTTGAAAAGATTAGGTCTAAACATGCTCATAATTTTAGCAATAACCTAAGTAAACAAAGAAGCGGGCTCTTTGAAAAAAAACTGCATAATTACTGAGTAATCAGCTTAGTTCTTCAGGTGGGAACAATAAAATTTGACAAATCTCTTCGTACAACTTTCAAGCCATATAAAGACCAGAATGCGAATGGGCTTGTTAATAATGAGAGGTTATCTGTGCCGAATAGCACTTTCGATGTAGGGCTTCATTTGAAAGAGTCTGAACGTAAAGCAAAGCAGAATCTGCAGCTGCCATATGAAGCAGCTCAAAAAAAGGAAGGTAAGTTCATTCAATTTGTATTTTCAAATTGCATTGCTTGTTATCAGTAGAGATAGTAATACATTTCAGATTTAAGAAATTAGTAGTGTTAAAGGGAAATTTCAAATGTAATCCAGGATACCACAAAATCACAAATCACTTTTTTTTGTAAAATAAAGCTTTCTGAAGGAATTAAATTTGCTTCTAAAGATTTTCTCAATCTTGAGTCTAAATTTAAGAACTAGTAAAAATAAACATGAATGGAAATCGGAAAATTAGAGCTGGTGGTCGCATAATTTATACTCCGGACGAAATGGATGACATAGATGAAAGTGACCCTGATGATGATCTCGATGTTTAATTCTTTTGTTTATTCTTGAGATTCCATTGCTCTTTACTTCAGGCTCATTAATTTGAATGTAGTATTCGTTTACAATCAATTATCAACTGGTTATTGCTGGTTTTTCAGTCAGCGTATTTTATTTTGGTATAATTGTATGCTTAAAGTTAGAGGTAGAAAGTTTTTTTCTCAACTTTCATATAATACGGTTGTGTTTATTGATGATACGGATTATTTCTAACATTCTAATATTGACAATTTGGCTATAAGATTTTGAGTTCTCCGGCTTGCTTTATTTGCTTTAGTGCAATTTTATTTCTGATCAGCATTATTGTATGACATTTTCGTTCAATTACGACTATTAAGATTTTTCCAGCTACTGTTTAAGGTGAACGGAGTTGAGCATCCAGATTTGATTTTTTTTAATACCAATGTGTCAAAACATTTCTCTCCTAACGTGTTCTCTATATTATACATATTATTTGTGCAAGTGTTGAATAATGGGTGCTATAGAACATTGTTATCGTAAAATAAGTTAATTATTAATTTATTGCTAGTATAATATAGAAAAATGAATACACATGACAACGCCGCATCATGTTATTTTTCAATTTGGCTTGTTTCCATTTGTGATTCTAACCCTTTGTTCTCTGAAAATAACTCTCTCTTTCCGCTTGTGTTAGAGAAAATGAAACTTAGGAGATTCCATTGTGCAGCAACCCTGCAGCTTATTTGTTGCTCTTTCTCCTGCTCTCCTGGTAAGCTGTGATACACTAATTTGCGTTAACAATATTTCACATATACATATATATATATATATATTTACGAATTATTATTTTGTAGTAATTTTGGTTGTGTAGTGTATAAAGACATCCAGATTCATTCTACTACTACATATGCTACATATGCTTTACATTTTTCATGATAAGTTTAGTAAATAAAAATTAAAAACAAAATATTATCTCCTTATTGCTACTATTCGTTTTGCCCCTTCACTATTAAAATATTTCCGATTTATATTTCGTGTATTAGTGTAATCACAATTCAACTGATAAGTTTTTGCTGTCACAGAAACTTATCGATGTGCTGAGATCTATTGCTAAGTGAAGTGGAGGATTTAATAATAATTTGTAGTTTTGATGTTTGATCGATAGGACATGTATATATGTATTTTATTGGATGCTAATTGGTAATGCTTTTTTATCCATTTCCAAAAATATGATTGTATTATTTTGGATGCCAGAGATAAATGTAGTGGGAAGTTACTCTGCGTGAAATGTTTTCAAGGTTTTCTGTTTGGTGTAGTTTTCAGATTCATCTGTATTCATGTTCAGTTGCTAATCTTAAGCATTCACTGTACAATTTTGTCAGCTATATTTATAAACAGCTGGAGATTTTGAGAATTTGGTTACAAGCTTTGGCAATGATGTCTGTTGTAGAAGAACTTCCCGAACTAGATTTCACCGAGGCATTGAAAGATTCACCGAGATTTAGGTCGGTTCTGTGGAGTCCATTTTACAGTATTAATCAGCTCTTGTTTTCACACTGAATTAAAGGGGAAATGGTTAAGTATTTCCTTTCGTTTTGATTTAGAAAAAAAGTATATATATATTTGATTTCTTCTAATGCATGCTGATCAGTAATTGTATTTAAGTTTTAGCTGTTATTTTTCAGGCAAGCAGTTTTGGCACATGAACAGTACTTCAATAAGTTGGATTTAAAAATAAATGAAGTATTATTTTACTATCAGTGATAAACAAATAGTGCACATCTGTTTTATATGACTTAATTTCAAGTAATTCTGATTACGCGCATCTGATACTAAGTCATATCAAATCGATGTCTGAAATTCAATATTTTTTCCAATGCATTCTGTTCAGAAATTTTAAGATTGGGTACCCAAATATTTCTTACTGTATGCATGTTCAACATTTTCTTTCCTATTTTGTTTCTTATGAAAATTTTTGATTCTTCTATTCATAAATCTTAGAATAAAATAATTTTATGAAACATCGATCGATTTTTACTGTAATGCAGATTCAGATATATTTATTATTGCAGGTATTACTGTTACTCAACAATGTGGCTGAACATGGAAAGAATTATGTTCATGATTTCTAGTAAAGTTTCTATTAAATGCTTGTTTTGAAACGTCATTTTTCCGAAAAAATTTTCTGAGGTTTCTAAAAATCGGGATTAGTTTTAGCATAACTCTACAAATAAGTCGTTTCGAATGGCTAGTTTTGCTTCAGTCATCTGATACTGATTTTATTTCAGCTCATTATCAGTTCTTATTAACCAGTTATGTTGCGAATTACTTCCACAAGATCCATCACTTTTGTTGGCGCTCAAATCGTTATCGGATGTTTTTGCTCAAATTGTACATATCTACAAATCATTCGTCGAGCAGTCTTTTTTGGCGATTACAAATAATCTCACTGTCTTTCTTAAGAAGTAGTTCTTTACAATAGATGAAATAGCGATCTTTCATATTTAATACAAAAATTCAATTTAAGCATAAATTTTGCTTTAATACTGGAATAGAAAAGTTGTTTCATTATTTTTTGCATCAAGATTTACGTTTGTGTGACTTGAAAGACTGTAATAGCAGGTGAATAAGGAAGTGATCTTTGGTGAAAGCGTGAATACGTATTGATGAGTTAACCATATTGTAAGCAATATGAAAGTACAATTTCAGTGAACGTTCTAAGGTGACTGAAACGCGTTGTCACTTTGAAAGTTTATCTAACTCACTTGATGAAGCACTTTCAAAACGTGCTGCTGTCCATCGAGCTCGACCAACAGAAGTTTCAGATGCTCGAAATGCACTTACTGCTATTGGGACTTGTTTCGCACATACTGCATTGGATTATGTGGCCCAGATAAATATCGCCCATGTACACAAGGATCAGAGTGTTCTCGATGCTGTCAGTTTATCTTATTTAAAAATTAAATTATTTGTTTTAAATCATTTTAAATGGTGCAAAACTCTAAAAGGATAGCATTCAGCGATTTTAGAAGAACAGTGTTAGTATTCTGATATTGAGATAAGATTTTTCATCCATTTCACTAATGTTCTCCGCACCATGTAGTCTGATATGTATGTAGAGTAACATCTGCAGTATTTTATCATAAAATGAAAATACAGTTTTAAGAAAATTCATCTTCAAGCACGAACTAATGGATTGTAGAAACTGTGAAGTTTTTATGATGTAGCAATTAAAATTACAGGTCAGCTTTCTTAACCATTATGATACCTTATTGTTTCAAGCTGTGGTCTTTTGTGAAAGAATGTAGCTCATTTTTCGCACGTGGGCATATATTCTTTGATGAGTGGATGGCTGTAGAAAGTGGTGCAATTGCTGATACCTTGTCACTGCTTGCTAATAAAAGTAAATGTGTAAAAAGAAAGATGCAAGATCGGCACGCGTTAGTACCCAAGGTTAGCAATTTGTACGAAGTAAAAAAGAAGTAATGTGAAGCAATATAATCCTGATAGCTTTCAATGGATTGCTGCAATTTCACTTGGAGTGACAACTGATGTATTAAGATATCTACATAATAGTATTATTTAAGGAAGTGTTTTTGCATCCAACAGGAATATCTCCTGATGATGACGTTGTTATGGAGGGCTATCTTTTTAAGAGAGCTACAAATGCTTTTAAAACTTGGCATCGACGTTGGTTTCAAATAAAGGATAATAAATTGGTACATTTAACTAGTCTTCCTTAGACCCAGCAGTATAATTTGTCTCATTATGAAGTAAAAATGGCTTTGTTTAAGATATATTCTCACCGATCTGATGCTGCCGAGACTCCTACTGTAATGGAATCAGACTTAAAATTATGTCTTGTTAGACCGGCGCCTCTGACATTTGAAAGGACTTGTTGTTTTGAATTGGTCACACCAACGAAGTACTAATTTTTTATATATTTAATTCTCACTCGTATTTTTTAAAAACAATTTGTCTCTTGTTTTAACTTGAAGATCTTTAACATTTGTTTAATTTGTAGAAATCATTTGTTGCAAGCTGATTCTGATACATTATGTAACGCTTGGATGCGAGCTCTTCAGCGAACAATTCATTATTTACATGAGAGTGATGATGCTGTAGCTCGGCCGACAATTATTACTAAGCAAATTGCTGATGCAGCACCTGAATTAACTTTGACTCTTCAACACGAATCGTTGTTGGCTGAATTAAGAAAGATTCCAGGCAATGATGTTTGTGCTGATTGCAGAGCCGATTCTCCAAAGTGGGCTAGTATCAACCTTGGAGTAAGTTTAGAAATTCTCTTTTTGGAAATAAACTTTTTTTACTTAATAATTTTCTGAAATGTTAACTAACTGCACTAAAAATCATATTTTGTCAGTGAAGAAGTCATAAAAATCAAATTGAATTACAAATAGTTAGAGTGGTAAATTTTCCGGAATTTTGAATTAATTGTAGAATTAAAAATGTAACCCTTTTTATTTGGAAAGTTCGAAATCGTGCAGTATTCATTTAAACTAATATCTCCATTTGATTTAGGTCTTACTATGCATAGAGTGTTGTGGCATACATCGAAGCTTTGGTGTACAAGTTTCAAAGGTTCGTTCACTGATTATGGATACACTGGAACCTGAGCAAAAGAAGGTGTTACTTGTATTAGGAAATCAAGCAGTGAACTCGGTTTATCTTGCTCATATTCCTTTGGTTAAAATGATGCCACCACAACCGGTTGCTTCTTCTGCAAGGTATCCAATAATTTTTATCGGTTTTACACTTAGCATTATTTTGGAAATCCTATCAATGTTAATTTTTTTTTCTAAAAATTTAACACTTCTTACTGGTTGCTTTAGCTTCTGTCGTTTGAAAAGTTAGACTTGCGCAAATTTTTACTGATGCATACTTAATTTTACAATCTAAAAATTAAAATATACTCACATCATTTTGTTAAGAGCGACGCGTGAAATATGGATTAGGGCGAAATATATTGAAAAACGATTTGTGAAAAAAAGCTGTGGCCGAAATTCAGCAATAAAGCGTACAGAGGATTATCAGCACAAATTTTGTTGTCTGTTTTAATTTTTATTCTGAACTGTTTTAAAATTTCGAAGTCGAGTATCGAAAAAAAGCAAGAAGCAAAAAAAATAATTTGATGTTTCATTTTAGTATCTCAAGAATCGTATTCAGATCAAGCAACTTCTCTTAGTCGTTGCTTATCAGAACCATCGTCTCACTTAGATCGGGAACAGCAGTTGAATGGTTATTTCTTTGATACGATATGGAAACCTCTCTTAGATACGAAATGTCACCTTGGTAATTTTTGTTTATGATTACTGACAAATCAGAGTATAATTTTCCATTTTGGTCTTAAAATTAGTGACGTAGTCATATAACATATTACAAAACCATTTGTCAAAACTTCTGCTTCCTTATTTTTTTAACTGGTTGATGTAGCTTTTTCTTTATTTCGTTATTGAAAAGTGTACAGTTCTAAAAAATTTTTGGTTTCTTCCGATAAATTAAAAATGTATTTTCGGAAAATCGGGAAAATATTCTCATTCATTTCATAGTTCTCGTTAATTAGTCCAAAGTAATTCTAGAGAGAACGTTTTAGAATATATTTAAATGTAGTTAAAAAAATACAGCAGTAAGAGTATTTCAGACCATAAGATTCCTGTTTGTGGATCAGATTCAAATATAGATAAAACAGAAGGTAATTTCATGATTTTGTTGTTTCATATTAATTAAAATAAAATTTTCAATATGGTAATGTTCTTAAAGCAGTATAATTTTCAGTAATTAACATTGATCATGATAATAGAGCTTTGCGTGCTGCAGCAGAGGGCGACACTTTAGGATTGTGTCAACTTATTGCAGAAGGCTTTGATGTAAATACTTTGTTAAATGATACAACAATGCTTCATGTTGCTATAGAGCATGTAAGTAAAATTCATTTTTAGATGTTATATTTGTTAGTCATTTTTTGATATCCTTTTTCTGTTCAACAAAAAAAGGAAAATTGATTGGTATTGTCAGTTCATAATTATATTAGGAAGGTTTTTGGTTTCAATTTCCATCTTACTAATTTTTTTGGCCAGCTTTTGGACGTGATAACCATTGATAACCCTTATTCCATTTCTTCAGAAACCACATATTCTCATTTTGTTTTGCATTAAAAAAAAAGAAAAATTAATTCAGTTTCAAAATTTTCGCCAATTTTTGACGGGTAAATAATGAAAATAATTGAAGGATCAGAGTACAGCCGCGGAATTTCTTCTACTCAATGGCGCCAAAGTGAACGCATTAGATTCTTTTCACAATACTGCATTACATATTGCAGCATCGAAAGCATGCACGTTGTAAGCAATAATCGATGGATTATCTTCATTTATAGCATCTAGCAAAACATTATTTAAGTTCTGAAAAGTTATTTGTAGTGAGTTGGAGCGTTTCTATTTCTAGAATTGTTTGTCAACTAATGAAACGTGGGGCTGACCAACGTTTACGAAATCAATCAGGCGAAACACCTTTGGATTTAGCTATAGAAGGCAAACATGCAGATATTGTAACATTGTAAGTGTTGCACTATGCTTTTTTTAATCATTTAAAAATCTTTTTTGAGAAGATACGGACTGTTTACATATTTTCTTCTCTTGTATATATTGTTTACAATGATATCTACAGAAGTCATAACTTTTTAAATTCTAACTAGGCTTCGAGTGCAAGAGATGCGTGATGAATTTTGTGACGAATTCAATAATCCAATGGATGAAACAGTAGATGATGTAATGCAAGACATTAGCCGGAAAGTCGATCCGTCTCTTCGATAAATTTCTGCTTATTAGTTAGTCTATACTGTTTCTTTCTACATTGCAGTTCTGTGCATTTGAGACAGAATCAAAGCCCTTATTCTCGTCTCCAGAAATTCTATATTTGCTTTGTTTTTTGTCTTTGCAAAATTATATCTGATTGTTAAAAATATACGTCAATGACTTTTGTTAAAAAAAGAGTCGAACAGGCATGATTTGTTATAAGGCAATGAAAGCCATATGAATATGATTCCAAAGTTGATATCATTGTTCGATAATATACTAGTTGAGATTTTTATAGGATTTGCATTGTTTTCTTCGAGATAAAATCTATTTATTCTTAAGTGGAACAGTTTACTTATTTTCCAAGTCTAATTCAATCAATACGGGTTCTATTATTTTTTCTCTTCGATTTACTGATGAGTGGATTAGCTTTTACTGGACGAATATCTGCTTGAAGGAATTCTTTATGGTATCCTGAATTATCATGCTTAATGGTATGGAAACATTGAAAATAAACTTAGGAAAGTTGTGCATAATCAGACATTTTCAGTCATGTTTAGTCAATATTTTTTACAATAAATGAATTATTGTTGGTATGCATATAAAGATAGTGTAGTTTAAAGTGTTGTTTGAGAATAAAATTTCTGTCCGAATAATCTTCGGAAATTTTCAAAGAAAACTGTCTGAAGCCGTATTCGAAGCAGGAATTTTCCCTCTTTTTAAGACATTCCATCCTTACTTCGTTGTTATACTTATTTGCGCTTCGCTTTTCATGACTTTAGGGCCAACTCTGTCTGTTTACTTGAGTGACTGTGCTTGCGTGCATCCGTATCTGTATGGGCGTTTATCGTCAGACCCGTTTACGTTATGTAAATTTTTTTCAGTTTCTAAAACTTTTATCTTTTTTCTGTCACATCCTATATTGTCCCACTTACCTTGATAGAATTTTATTTTGCTTGATTGTAAATGCGTGTTAGGACAAATATTTCGATGTAATTTACTAGATAGATTTGCTTTAATGTAATAACATTTATAAAAGTAATACAATGTAGATTATTTCATGCAGTTCAAATCTAAGTAAAAATAATTTCGCAGATGAGTTGTAGAGTTTTTGGATCATCTTTATAGTGATACCCATATTTATTCACTTCAATATATTTCATGAGCCAAAAATAAAATATACTATGAACCATTTAATAATGAATAAAAACGAAATAAACAAAAATTTACATAATAATTTATATAAAAACCAACTCAATCAGACACACAAATCATTTTGATATGGGTGGCGCTGATCGGAGCAGTCCCAACTGACGAATCATATTATATTGATCTGGAACTTCTAATAAAGATTGTACTGCAAATGAAAGCTTGCCTGCATCGACATTGTCTGCTTTTTGCATCAGTTCATGGAACTGGACGAAATGAAAATTATCCCAAGGCCTTTTTGGCAAGGATTCATCGAATACCTTGAAGAATAATCAAATTTTGTATATTAAATTTCATATTAAGATATGCAAAGGGATTTCGTCCTTCAAGATCTCTGTCAGCAATCACTTTAGTTTGAATACTTTTTGCTGAAAATTATTTGGATTTAAATTAGTAAAAAATATGATATTATTTTTATTATTAACCTTCATCATTTCCCATGGACCATCACCAACACCAACGACAATAATAGACAGTGGATACTGACATGCTTGCACAATTGCTTTTCGTGTTGCTTTTTCGTTCGTAACTTGCCCATCTGCCACTATCACTAGGATATGATACTGCAAAATAGTAAAAGATGACCAGATTAAAGCTTCTGGATTCAAGATTTTTATTGGGTAATAACTGGGTACTGTTGTATGCAGTTATTGAATTCTGTTCAAAATAGAATTAAAAAAATATGTAATACATAGATTTATATGAAGTCGAAACATTCAGGCAAAAGCATTGCATCAAATGAACATATTTTAGGACGAGATGAGATAAATCCTGATAAGATTATTCGTAAATACAGATAAATAATATCAGTGCTAACGAGATAATGTGATTGTTGTTAACGATAACAATTTATTTATATATTTTGCTAATTGATGAGTATTTAAAAAAGTGGGATATGAATGTACATACATCTTGAACTTTTTCACAAATTTCGATAGCCTGATAAATGAGTGGAGCAAAATTTGTTGGGCCACTTAAAGTTATTGTTGGAGTAATTGTATCATACACCCTGGAAATAACGTTAATGTCAGACAACATAGATCTAACTTAATTTTTAGTACAGATAATACTTTTATTCTATTCTATTACATTGCTTTCAAAATCTATCCTTAATGTTACAAAATTATTTCACTCAATCTTTATGCTGATAATTAAAATGTTCTGAAATAAAATTCAAGTGAGATAGGGTCAAGTACACTTTTATTGTAAGTATGCATGTATAAGTGCAAGGAAGTAAAAGTGAATATTATTATTATTGTTATTCATTATAATTATTTATTATTATTATTATTTATTATTATTTGTTATTACAATTATTATTATTATTATTATTATTACTATTATTGTTATTATTATTATTATTATTGTGTACTTATTGTTTTATTTGTATGTAAGTTATATAATGGAGGAAAAAAGTTTTAAATCTGACAGAGTTTAAATAAATTTAAAAATAATGAATTACCTTAAAACTTCATCAAAATCTTTGCATTCACCTTCAGTTTTAAGCTTAAATACCGACCAATCACCAGTTTTTGAATCTCCAAAACCATAAGCTGGTATATAACCGGAAGTAGCAAATGGTGCTAATGTTCGCCCCATAATTTTAATAACCTGTAGCATATATAATTATTAATAATTACTTGCAATTATGAAATGTTTTACAAATTGATTACCAGAAAATCTGTAATGCAAATAAATATGTATAAGCGAATTAAAGTTTTTAAAAGATTGCGTGAAAATATAATTGTTATGAAAAAAAAGTAATGAGTATTATGTACTTGCTGATATGGATTCTCTTTTGATATATCCAAAGAATGTAATGAACGTCCTTCAAAACATCTCTCACCTTGGTACTTGTTGCTAGCAGTGTAATCAATACCTTAACTTGTATTATTTATGAATGATTTTTTAATTCAAAAACAACAAATTTATATTTTCGAATTTAGCATGTAAAGTGAAATTTATACAAAAAAGAAAAAATAGTAATGCGATAGTATTAATCATTTTTGTGCTATGTCAAAAACTGTTGTAATAAAATTATACGAAACATATGAGATAAATAAAATAAATAATTGTAGTTAAACAAATTCTAATTAAAAAATTAAAAATTTCTATACCAAATATCAAATTAGTAGATAATAAACCAGCTTTACGCATTGCACCTGACAAATCTTCAAGTGACGTTAATGCTAATAACATTTCTTGCATACTCGTAACTCCGAGTACACTCAGTAATGAACTTTGTTTTCTGATCTAAAAATGCTTTATTAAATTTTTACTATTTAATAATTTTTTGTTAATAATTCATTTTTAGTACAATCTATTGTTATTTATTTTCATGACAAAGTGTATTCATACATTTTTTTTTGCATCAAATATTTACTAACTTTTTAAATTTGCTAGCCACAAATAATGCAATATTCACTCAATTTTTATGATTTGTACATGCATATTTCAATAATTAATAATCAAAATTATTTTTATGGCATTGTATTGTTTTGTTTAATAAATAAATGACAAAATTATTTTCACTGATTTCAAAAAAAAAAAAAAATGTATTCATTGAAATAGGTCTCTAATTGAATTTAGTTTTTACTTCATACTAAAATTCATTTTTCATCTGTGCTTAATTCATTTATGCACTTACTCGTGAATGACTCCCACTTGATGTAAAACTTTTATTGCTTCTTAATGAAGTAATTGAATGCGATGGCTCTAACTGTTTCAGATTTGATAAACTTTCAGTGACTTTCATAGACTGTGGTAGTGGTAGCTATAAAATAAACCTATAAGTTCCAAGCAATAAAAAAACGTTATCCTTAATTTTTAACTTTATCTTAAAATTTTAGATTTAAAAAAAAATGATTAAATTTATAACTGATGTCTTAAATCGATAACAATTTATTAAATAATCAAACAAACATTGAAAATATCGGTACATTCTGCAGCTACTTGATCAAAATATTCCAATAAATTTTCACTATTAATGCTTGCTTCATCAGGTGAAATTTCAATTGATTGTATTTCTGGAGCATATGTCATAGAATCATCAATTCCTATTAATTCTTCCACTTTTTCAAATACCTTTAAAAAATATTTAAGCTTTTTTTTTAAATGATAGAAATTTAATAGCATATAATAGCATCATTTTTGAGCAGAACAAATAAATGAAATTAAAATAAATATGAAATTAAAATAAGTGAAAAAAAAAATTACTAAAACATTTGCATTTATGAATAAACATAAATGAAAACAGAAAAAATTTTGTTAATTTGTACTCAATAATATTGAATATACAAATAAGCTGTGAAACATTAACTTCATTGGTTTTAATCATTTGACTAGTATCTTCAGGAGAAACTTCTTGTCGATATTGCCCGCTACTAATATTATTGAACTGATTATGACTCTGTTCAGTACTATCCAACATTGCTTCTTCAATTACAAATCCCGTTGATTGATCACGTAAATACGTTGTTATATTTGTTGATGCTTTGTTGTTGACATATTCAATAGCATCATGAACATACATTTCTGCTTCTAGCAATCGTTTGTCTTCTTCTAAATCTTCTAATACATTTTTTTCCATTTCCATTATTCTAGTTTTTGAAGTAAAACTACATGACAGTTCATTTCCATTACTCGTTTCATCTAATAATTCATATCTTCTTCCTGCTTCCATTGGTTTACGAAGTTTGATGACTTCGTTTATATCAATTTCTGCTGATTTTCGTATATTCAATACCTGTTGTGATGATGTTATTAAAGTAAGAATTGTTAATTTACTTAAAGAGTTAATTTTTTTATTCTTTATTTTGCATCATCAAAGCAATTGAAATATAATAGCACAAAAAAGTAAAAATGATAATGCAGTGTGTAAGTGCTTTAAAAAATTCAATGAAATGTGCTTTTCAGTACTACATTTAGTTATATAACTAAAATTTATTAATTGCTAAAAAATAAATAATAAATAAATAAATAAATAAATAAATAAATAAAAACTCTAAGAAACAACAAACTTAAATGATGCAACAATTATTGCATGTGCTTTTGTGCATTTAAAACTTAGAATATATAAGCAAGCACAAATAGAAAGGCTAAAATCACTATCTACTCAAAACCAGAAAAACTGATTACAAGCATTTCAAACAAGTACCTGATTTTTTAGATTAGTTTTAGATTGATCTATTCCAATCATTTCACTTTTGACATTAGATGACTGAGTAATAGTTGCTTCTTGCAAATGTTGAGATCGTTTCTGCATGACATTACTTAAAGTCAACTTCGTTACTTCATTGGTTTTGAGCTGTTTTGGCACCATGAAATCATCTGCTACCACTTCATTACCACTTTCTTTATAAACTTTAACAAAATCATCATCGCTTCCTTGGGGCAAACCATCTTTTACATTTGACTTATATGCAAATTCTGCTGTTTGTTCTCCATAAAATTCCTAAATTATAAGTACTCTTTTTTGATATTAAAAAAATCTTTTGCAAATTTCTTTCTAAAATATCCAAAATTTTACAGTATTCCTCAAAACTATGAATAA